GGAAAAGGAGTTCAGGCACAGCAGAAGCAGTGTAGCAGTTGCATTGTGGTCGTGACAGAACATATGCATTGACTGGACAGATTGTCAGTGAGGTTGTTATGTGTAATCCATACTTTTGGTGCTGCTCAATTACCTCAAGTGTTGGTAGAATCACATCTTTCTTTTGAATTGCTGAGATCCGTCACGTGAGGTTACTTGCATGGGGAAATGTGGCATTATCAAGAGATGCTCTTTTTCTGCTTAGACGTGAATACATACAGTTGCTTTTGTCTCACAGATTATCTGCTTGCCCATATGTTGGTTTGTGTCCTCTAATTAAAAGCAGAATGTTAACCACTGGTCAAAAACGAGCATGCACAGATGAAACTGTTTTTTCCATGGTACATCCACAGAATCATGATCTTTTCCTGGATCAGTCCTGCTTGTTCAGGATATTGCAATTGAACAAGGACACTATAGGTTGCTTTTAAGACTCCAGTGTGTGATTAATGGAGAATTTGTAGATATTTATTATATTGCAAATGTGTTCATAGCATTTCATTATTGTTACAGTAAGAATGGCAACTTTTAAAAGATTTTTAAATTTTTTTTTCTTCCTAGTCTGTAGTATTTTTTGACAGCCTAGTCTCTAACGGCCAAAGTGTAATTGATATCTGAAAAGGGCCAAGCAAATTTCAGGTGAACATTGGTGTATAATCAACCAACCTCATGTCTCTTTGAGAGATCTTTCTCATAGTAGAGTAGGTAAGGAGTTCACCAAGAGAAATAATACCCTATTCCTGGGATTTACTACCTTGTTAGGTTTTTTTCTAGCAGGGAAGTATTTCCATAAAGTGTGCGCTAGAAAAGTGGCATGCCCATGGTTGTTGTCCTTCAGAAAAATTATGAGTCAGCAGGATGGGAACTAGATGTATGGGAGAAGCAGAAGCATAATGATGGGCAGAAAATAATAAAAAAGTGCAGATGTGCAGGCAGAGAAAACCGAGATTTTAAGAACTAAAACATAAAGATTATTCAAAATGCAACATGGAGAAGACGTATATTTTAGGCTTAAAAAATATATATGGAAAAAAGTTGCTATATCCTAAGCCCAAGTGCTCATTTTAGACTTGCTTTCTTTTTATTCCCAAGAGGACATATGCCCAGACCTCTGTAGGAAATCTGTCTGCCAGCTGGCACAGCACCTTTCAAAGAGACCTAATTTTATATTTTGAGAACCTGGCAATATCAGCCACTTCCATCTGTAATAGGCTGCTGTTTGTAATAGCTATTAAACTGCATTTTAACATTTCATTTTAACTTTATTTGCCAACCTATTAACAAGGGCCAGGCTATTGGGACCTGTCAATAGTACCAAAAAAAGTGTTTTAATTTTGTGAGATCTGTGGGTTCATGCTTTTGTTTTTCATAAATGTATGTCTTTTGATGGTCTCTAGGATATTAACTTCTATGATGAAATATCATCTTCCCATAATTTAAGTCTGTATTGAGAGGAGGCAGGAATAAATCCTTTGTAGTAATAGTAGAAATCTGCTGTATTAAATTCAGCATTAAAATTTGAGATAAAGTTACTTGGAGTACTGGCTTTAATGTTTCTGGGATAGAAATCAGAAAGTATTAAGCACATCATCGTATTATGTAATGATTTGTCTAGCTAAATAGAATTTAATGTGGGTAGCGAGGGAACAGATTCAGTTCTCTTGCTCTGGTTCTACCTGCTGCAACAAAATTTTCAAGCCATCTCTGGCCAGCTTGGAGAGGGAGCCCAGGGAGCTCTCTAAGTCGCAGGCAGAGCTGTTCTTGCAGAGTTTACTTGATGACAGGTGATCTTTTTGTGTTAATTTAATATGAGGAAGAAAGCCACCTCAGATCCAGAAGAGGCAAAATGGCCACTGCCGTATGGCAGCTGCTGATTCAGCGTGGATCTGCTTCAGTCTGCGCTAACTGTAGCTCCAGGCTTTCATCACTTTCAGTCTGTCTTAAACCTTGTCAGAGTCAATTAGTTCTTGTAATCAGTAGTAACTAACGTTTGATATTCATGTAAGTCTAACTGAGGAAAAAAAATTATTTGTTTTGGTTATAATTCTAGAATACTTTGTGAAATTATTTACGTTAGAAGAGGAAATACAAATATTTATGTACAGTAGCAGTAAAATACTGCACCCAAACTTAATTGAGATTAATTCTGTAGTGTATAGCTGTAATGTTGAAAAGTTTGTCATGCATATGAAATTCATTAGTGTTTCTTTGAATTCCTGTTAATATATTTTCTGGGTTTTTTTCAGCTCTTCGTTGTAGCCTCCAGTTTCTAGGAAACATTGCATCAGGAAATGGAGATTCCCAAAATAGCATTTGGAAGTGTGCTTTCCCAGATCTCTTCTTGTAAGCATGGATGCGGGTTTTTTTAATAATGTAATTTCTGTGGTTGTATTCAAATCTTTTGTACATGATAGTTGTGCCAATACTAGCACCATCAAGCTTTGAAAAATAACTTTGGGGAGAATGGGGAGGTTGAGACCATATCCTGTAGATGGTTTTTTTTGTTAGTCAACTGCAGGGGTCAGGACCTTTAAAAACCTGCCTGTTCTAAACTAACAGTAAATTGATTGCATTTAACAGAAACTGGAAGAAAACTATTTCAAATTATGAGCTTCAAACATAAGCTTTACTTCGGAGGTGTTTTCCAGTAGTTATACTAATTTCCAAGAACATAGCTTTTAAATTTTTTTTTCCACTTTGCTGCTGTGCAGACCTGTCAGTATTTGTGGATCAGATGGAATCCACAAAAGTGACTTAAACTTTGTGTCTTCCAATCCTTTTACTGCCCTCCTAACCTCACCAGAATATCTTCCTGGAGGTTTGATGATGTGTGTCATGAAATATTACATAAACAATTTTGTGCAGACACGTGACAGTGTTGTTGTTGTGTTTGGGCAGATTCTTCATAGGGAATAACAAAGGCACCGTAATTCAATTTGATAATAATTCTGAGTGTGTTTTTGGAGCCCACTTGTCACCACAGGATGTAGAAAGACTTTATGATAATACAAACAGATTATTATTATGGTTTCACCCAATTTCTAGATCTCCAGTTAGCTCCAATTTAGCTTTAATTTTGTAAATTGCCTGTTAAGTTTGACCTTCTGGTAGAAGTTGGATTATTTTCTTTGCAGATGACTTCTGTCCGTTTTAGGCAATGACAAACTCAGGATTCTCTGAAAGACTGTAAACAAGAGTAGCTCAGTGAGCTGAATGCCGCTAGTCTGGTTTTTTTTAGGGTCAGTTTTAAGTTACTCTCTTAATTCCTTATTTTCTCTTGAAGGACATGCCTAACGTACAGTGATGAGAAGATTGTTGCCTATTGTTGTATGGTCCTGTTCACCTGCCTTAATTCAGAGAAAGTGAGAGAACTCCTGGATCCTGGAAACTTGACTGTGGCTCTTCATGTCCTGAAAGTCTACAAAGAGCAGTTGGACTCTGAGTGGTCGTAAGTATCTTTAGATATTTTTTTTTTCTTAATTAGTTGTTTTTCTAGTGTAAATGTCGGTATTAAAATGTCTGAATTTGTGACAGTACTGAGTAGTAAATGAGGATCTATTCACAAGTTAATAATGTGGAATAGAGATAATTTTCATTATACTTTCACTGACTGTTGTGATTGCTGCTAAAATAAGACTATGTTTTTGTTTAGGATATAGACAAGGATTTTAAAATAATGGTCTTTTGGGGTTTTTTAATGAAACAAGGTTCTAGGATGCACACTAATTTATACTTGTGTACTGTTTTGTGGAGATTTTTGAAGTGAAGTTAATGCAGAATATAGTCTTACAGACTTTGGTTATTGGGTCATGCTAGGAAGACTTGTATGACTGCTGCTTGTGAGTACTTCATAAAACGTGGGGTTTTTTCCCCCCCTTTTTTTTTTTTAACAAATCTGCTGTCTAGTGCAACATGCAATTATTTCTATACTAACAGAGAAGCCATTTTATTTGTGAATCTTGCACATCTAATTTTCATGCTTTAAGAGCACCTAATCAGTGGTTTTATTTCATTGAACTTTTGTATTGTTTGCTAATGGCCATTCTTGTAAGTATTGTTGTCAGTTATACATTTGGGAAATGTTCTTCCCTGCATCAGCAAGGATACACTTTCAGTTAATTGTTATATGGTGTATTCCAAGGGGGAAAAAAAGGATAGTATATATGTTTTTGTAGCCTCCTTTTGAAGGTCATGTTTATATTAAAATTTAATTAGGAAGAATTGTCAGGGTTTTACTAGTTATTTGGAAAGTCTCTAAACAGAGTTAAGATGAGTGAATGAAAAGCAAATGTCATTTAATAGTTTACTTTTGTACTTAAAAAATTACTTTAAAATTTGTTTGGGGATGGACCTTTTTCATAACTGGTCAATTTGCTTAGGACATAATTAGTTTCCAGAAAGCAAACTTAGAGTTTCGGGGTCAGGCAACTGGATTTCTGTTTCAAAAGTGACAAACTGAGTCTTTAGTTTTGGCATCTGTCAAATTAACACATGTGAAAGATTGCTCTTCAGATAATTATCTTGATTTCATTTTCTTTATGTATTGAAAATATGCTGAAGTGTATTTTGACTGAGATATGAAAATCAGGGAGAGCTGGAAGAGGTTGTTATGGTGTTAAATTTATATGTTGAAGGTAATTGCAGAATAAATACAGCATCAAAATAAATGCTGAGGTATCGATTTCCCTGGTCCTCCTGATCTGAAGTGCATTCTGTTGATGTTATGATGAGAATGCCTTACCTCCACTAGGGATTTGATGTGGGTGAAACAATCTCTCTTCAGAGTAGTCTTGAAATTAAAAAGGGGCAAATTTCTATACAAGATATAAGACCATGATGAAGAAAAAGAGATGGGTAGAAAAGAGTAATCCTAGTCCTACCCTAAAGCATTTGCAGAATGCTTGCCCTCTAATTCCTGTCAGAATGCTGAGTTCCTCATACAGGGAATATACGAAAGAGCATTGGAATGTCTTCCAGGCATTAAGAAAACAATACATTTGATTTTCTTTCATAGTACTTTAACGTTGCCAACTTTAACTTAGTTAAGTCTCAAAGCTCATTGTCAGTTTTCCCAACTGAAAGAAGTAGTAATGAGTTTGTAGCGTAAGTTTCTTGGCATTTTATACAGTCATCTTGAACCCAGTTATAAATGGAGTTCTTTCAATAATGTCACTGTTTTCAAGTCAAGAAGGGTAAAGTGCATTCACAAGTTGAAAATCTAAACCAAAAACTGTTGCAACAGTGCAGTACAAAGCAACGAATAGGTAGATATTCAAACAGCATTACCTTGAAAGTGAAAAAAATAATTTCTTGCTAGAAATGGGCTGATAAGCTCCTTGTAGCTTTAGAGCCTTTTTAGTGAATCTTCTTGTACCTATTTCCCTCTGTTTCTTGATCCTGACTTAATTTCTTCTTCTAATATTCCATTTCTTATCCCTCTTCTCAAGAAACACATTTACACTCTGGTTCTCCCTCATATTCATCTCTTCTTATTGTGAGATAATATTTGTCATGGCTGGGGGTAATTTAAATGGCAAAGTATGTTCTTTCTTAACATCAGATTTTTTTTTTTTTTTTTTTTTTTTTATTTCTTCTTCTAATATTCATTTTTTTTTTTGAGGAAAAAAAAGTGATTTCCATCCTGAAAGAAGCTATGATATTTATATATTAGAATACATGTATCTTTGGTCTACTTGGTGTGGAGGGGGAGGCAAGAAAGTAATATTTTCACATCCTTTTTTATTATAAAAAACAAGAAGGTTGCTGTCAGAGGTTTATTTTTCACGTTTTCAGTGGAAATCCGCTAATGTGTATCATTCATTATGCAACAGTGATTTTAAGTCTTTTTTTTTCCTGATTTTTGGTTATGATTTTTCTTTCCTTCCCATCCCAATCACCCATTTTTTCCCCTCTTCCAGTTAGCCATACTTCAATGTGTTATACTAAAGTAACGCTTTTATCTTAGACCAAACATGCATCTTGGGAGCCTCTACTGCATGGTAAATTATCGAGAGGTTTTTTTCTTGTTATCTTGGCAGTACTAACACAGCATGGATTTCACAGGCAACAAGTTGTTCTTTAGCTTTAATGAGAGAGGATATTCACTTAATCCTATGAATAACTGACTACATTTTCACAAGGTACCTGCTTGTATCTCAGATTCTTTGTGTTTTCCTATTTTATTTTTCCATTTGTAAAGCACATACTGTAAGAGTGTTTGAGTATTACACCTGATGTCACACAGCTGAACCTCCCAGTCCAAATATTTTTCTCTTTTTTCTAGAATATTTGAATTGGTTTATTTTTTGGGTAGTCTTGAGTTGAGTCTGAAAGCCTGTTTCTTTTATTAGCACTAATCCTTCTGCTGTAAGATGGATACAATCGTGTAATGTAATGATGATACCTTCTGTTGCTTGCTTGCTTGCTTTTTTCCTATTGCTGAGCAGCAGGAAGCAAGATAGCCAGCTTTTGTGCGGACTTTCTTATGTCCGGCCTACTCAAGCAGTTTTCTCTGCCTGTTCTCTTAATTTAGAGGCAATCTCTACTGATGCCAACCATGTTGCATCTCTTTTCTCTAGGAAACTGTTGTGAACTTTTCACCGCTCTCCGTTTACTGGTGTAAAGTGCTGTTCTGTTCTTGTGATCAGGCTTCCTAACATGTACTTTGGTGTGAAGAGAAAAGCTGAACAATAAACAGGATTTCTTACTTTGGTAGAAGTAATATTATTTACATTGGCTGATGAAAGTTGAAGATTCTTGTCTTGGATATAAGATAGTTGGGGGGTTTTTTGACAATGATAAGTGAAAAGCTAAGCTTTGTCCTTGCGTCGGTGGTGTTCCTGACATGTAGTAATGCTGTCTCTTTAGGACAGCTTCTGAAATTGTGTAGGTTTGCATTTGCCTTATGCTGAGAGTAGCTATTCCTTTATTACAGCCTTCTGTTTCTAAAACGTTTCTGGATATTGAATGAATTGCAGTTTTCTATACTTGAAAGACACACAGTCATTGCTTTAAGCATATGTTTACAATAAGCTTGGACTCTGGTGTATTGCTGCTCTTGCTTTGGTGTCCATTTTATCATTGCATATAATCTTCCTGGTTTGAACTAATTCTTGGTTCATTACTAAAGTACTTCCCTCCCCCCATCAAGCAACTGTGTTTACTTTCTGATATGGAAGAGTATATGTGAGATACAGTCACGTAAAAGTGCATAAAAAGACTTCTGTCTCTTTTCTGATGAAGTTGAAGCTGAGCTGTGGACGCCTCTCTGGCTGGACTGTAGAAAAAATATTTTGTCAGCAATTCATTGAAAATTTGGAGTTGTACTTGAGTGAGAACTGAAGTACATACCACTAGGATTGCTTAAACGAATTTACATAGCCGCAGTATTTGCATCAGAGCCAGTTCCCTGTTGTTAAGATTCGAGTCCCTTGCGCCACAGCTAACAGAATGCACAGCAACCATTTTTAAGCGGCTGTTATGGCATTATGTGGCTGAGCCAAAATACAAACTATTCTTCTTCCAGGAGGTTATGCTCACTGCTGGACTAAAAAATGACTGAAGTTAACGTGTTCTTACTTTTGAAGTTAAAAAGTATTACTTGCCTACCTTCTTGTCTCTCAGCTGGAGCATCCGGTCTCCTATTACACTGACTAAAAAGTAAATGCCACATGAGTTTATTCCTCTTGGCTTGGGTTTTTTTTGCTGTCAAATGCTGCTTTTAGGTATTGAAAATCTTTCACTGACTAACCAGGCAAGTTTTGCTTATAGGCAAAACTTTCATCCATTATTTTTATTCCCTTTTCTTTTATTGTGCACTGAAATTTATGACTTAAAGTTCTTCTAAATTAGTAACCAATGAATTCCACAAATAAACACTTATGATGGTCAAGTTATTTTTGCAGTTGCTGCCATGAACCATTAGGACAGAGAGAGGATGTCCTTGACAAATGTTTGGATTTAAGGCCATTGGCTGAACTGTAGTCTCTCTCATGGGGTCCTCACTACTCCATTCGTCTAGCACATGTTGGGTTTTCTTCCTGCCAAGGTGGCAAGCACATTTTAAAAATCTTTTTTAGGTGAATTAGCAATTCCTCCTCTGTTCATGAACCCACATTCATGTTTAAAGTCCAGTTTTCCATCTCCAAGCTGGAAAAGTCCTTAGGGAAAGTTCAGGAGGAACCTGTTTCCAAGTGTGATGCCTTTGGCTTCCCCCTCCACTCTCACAGCACTTCTGTAGGGAGAAGGCTTTGTCAGAGGAGATCTGAGATTTTTCTGAGCAGTTCTGCAGAGCTAAGTTTTTAGAATAGAGGCAAGTAGTGGACCTTTTGCAATTCCTCTTCTGTCTGCTGTAAACCCCTCTCCCATTTAAAGAGTGCCAGGAAAGCATCTTTAAAGGCAGGATGGAGCTTTCTGGAATTTTCCTGTCATGTTTGCTTACTTTCTGAA